AGGCAGAGAGGGTTAGGAGCTGGTTGAATGGACATGGGGAATCAGGGGTGGAAAGGAGGAGTGTGCTGTCACAGTATGGGGAGAGCAATTAGCGTCACATTAACAATTTATGTATAAATTTTTGTATGGGGAAAAAAAAAAAGAGCTAAAACTCATATTAAAAAATAAATAAAGATAAAGAGATGGAGACACAGAGAGGCAGAATAACTTGCCATGGTATGGCTGCTATTTAAACCCAGGAAGTTTCACTCCCGAGTCTAGCCTCTTATCCATTACATTATATGGTTTGTAGTCATGTGTACCAGGACTTTACTTACCAAGTGCATGTTTAAAACTACCAGATACAAACGCATTGTGTCCATTTAAGACACAGAGGGCGTGATTATCTGGGTTTTTCAGCATTAAACGGAGACAGAAGCGATGATGTCGTACATCTTGGGAATGCATGGTAACTTGATTGAAAATGTTCCAGAGGTGGGGTTTATTGACATTGTCCATTACCATTATCCTAAAATTGCACAAAACAGGTGAGGGGAAAAATAATGTAAAAAGGAAATCTTCCTGACATCTACAAATAAGAGCTAAAGAAAAAATCCGTTGCCATCGAGTAGATTCTGACTCATAGCGACCCTGTAAGACAGAGCAGAACTACCCTATAGAGTTTCCAAGCAGTGGCTGGTGGATTTGAACTGCCGACTTTTTGTTTAGCAGCTGAGCTCTTAACCACTGTGCACACTGAAATGCACTATTCTACAATGAGACAAGCAAACTGTTTCATTCTATTTAAGCTAAACTTCTTGCACCATGAGGTTTTTCACAGAAAATGCTGTTAAAGTAAGGTTTTTTTCTACATCTTGTCTGCTTTTCAACAAAATGTCTACACCAAAAAACAGAATCAAGTGATTTAAGTTTCATCTTTTCTCCAGTGCCCAGTACAGATGCAATACAAAGAGCACTGAATAATAACTAATACGATGTGTGCCAGGCATTGTTAAAAGACTTTACATATAATAATTCATTTAACCTTCACAATAACCACTGAATTACAGTTATCATTATATGCATTTTACAGATGGGAGACCAAGGCACGAGAGAGGTAAAAATAAAACAGCTTAATTCTTGAGTATGAGAGACTAAGTCAAAATAAGGTACATACTCTATCAAACAATCTAATTAAAATAAATTATTAGTAAGTCACCTGATGTAGTTGTATGCCTTTCTGAAATTTTTGTCCAGAATTGCAGCAGAGAGACCAAAGTATTCTAGTTCTTTGCGCTTTTGTCTGTCATCATAAAATGAATAATATTCCAATGAAGAATCCACAAGTAACTCAGCCTCTTCGTATCGGGACAGGTCACATAAGGAGTATATCGCCTTCAACAGAAGGTTCCACCAGTCATCTTTTGTTAAGACACTTGTGAGTACAGCAAATATTGCTAAAATGAGACAAATGAAAAACAGAGGACACTGTATTTCCACAAATAGCAGTATTAGGGGAAAAAAACTCACATGATCAATTTTAAGGTAAACTTTATAACTATGGTCTTACGGATCTGAATTCTTGCCAACACTAACCTAACAATGATATGAAGATATATTTCTTGTTCACACTCCTGCAACACCACCCCCTCTGCTCTGCCTGCCTTAACAATCTGCAATCCTACTAAATTCTCACTTTTGACTTGTTCTCTTCCTTCCAGAACTACCAGATATTGCTAGTCTGGCAGGATTGATTAAGTCCACTACAAACTCAAGTTAACTCACTTTGTGTTGATTAGTACTAGTCAGAATATACGCTCCTCTAGGGTAAAATTAGTGTGTTATCCATGACTGAGAGCCCTGTGGTTAAGAGCTCGGCTGCTAAGCAAAAGGTCGGCAGTTCGAATCCACAGCCCCTCCTTGGAAACCCTATGGGACAGTTCTACTCTGCCTACAGGGTCACTAAAGAGTCAGAAATGACTTGATGGCAACGGGTTTGCTTTGGGTTCTACAGGGTCGCTATGAGTTGGAACCGACTGAACAGCAGTGGACTTTTGGTCCTGGTAGTCAGATACAGGATTCTGCACATACAAGCCACTCAAATGTCTGCTTAGCAAAATGATCTCAATTCACACTTTGAGATTCAGGCTGTTTTTGATATTTTTCTAATTTCAGCTTATTTTTCTCTGCTTCAAAATTTCTATTTTTCTTCAACAACCCTGTCTTTCTTATTCTCTGTAAGAATCTCCTTCCTTTGTATAAACCAAACCAAACCCATTGCTGTCAAGTTGATTCTGACTCGTAGTAATCCTATATGAGAGCGGAACTGCCCCATAAGGTTTCCAAGGCTGTAATCTTTACAGAAGTAGACTGCCACATCTTTCTCCTGTGGAGGAGCTGGTGAGTTTGAACCACCAACCTTTCAGTTAACAGCTAAGCACTACAACCACTGCGTCACCAGGGCTCTTTCTCCTTCGTATAAACCAAATCAAAACCAAACCCACTGCCATGGAGTCAATTTCAACTCATAGCGACCCCTTGAGAAATATCAAAAGCCATACTTTTTTGACTCTCTTTAGCCCAGTAATTCTTCTGGGAAAATATCCTAAAAAATTAATCCACAATATGGATAAATCTATATGCATGAAGATCTCACTGCAATATTGTTTATAAAAGAAAATTACTGGAAACAACTACATAACAATAGTAAGGAATGATTAAATAAATTATGAAACTGCTACCCAATAGATTACACATTCCTTAATATAATAGCTATGAAGACAATTGAGTAACATGAGAAAATTTTTATGATACAATGTTAAGTGAAAAAATCAGAGTACAAAGTTGCATATAACACAGAGGCCTGGCTAGTCCTATCCTGGAGCACAGTGTAATGTGAGCCCCACCATGATGCAATAAACCGACGAAAACCTTATCAGCCTAAGAAAAACCAATAATGGACCTGAAATGAGGAATTAAAGAGAAAACAGGATCAGATACAGAGAAAAACATAATGAAAGGAAACTCAGACCAAAATACATACTGCAGAGGTAGAAGCTGTTGGCATAAGTTCCAAGCCCAGAATCAATGAACAGGAGAAGTGGAAGGGGCTCTGAGGCATTTATAGCTAGATTATGAGCAACTGAGCCTTCCCTCCATCCCAACTCCCATGCTTGTGAAGTGGTCATCCCTCCCTTCCTTTGACTCTCCTCCATCCCATCTCCCTACCCTGCTTATCTGATGCATTTTACTGTATCTTACAGCTATTCATCTCTTCTGGATTTTAAAACCCTTGACCAGTGAACATTTCCATGCCGGTAACAATGATTTAATAAATGTTTGTTGAATGAATTAACTAACAATGAAATCATTTTCAGCCAGACTGACATCTCCAATTCATAGGCTAGGTTTTTTCCAAAGTAGCCTCTCTGAGTAATAACCTCATCCAAACATACCTGATGCTTTTTCAACTAAAAATAGACACTTTTTATTACTTAAGACTGAGTCAAAGCAATTTATTTTCAAAGTGTTTCTATGACTATTGCTACACTTATCAAAAACGAATTTAACTGACAATAGAATATACGTAATTGAAGTGATTGGACAAGTAATCTGTATTGTCATCTAATCTTCACAAATTCCTAAAATGGTATAATTTCTTCTTAAAAAGTCAAAATTAAAAGTTTTAATTTAGTTTTTTCACAGAAAGAGCCAAGCAGATGTTGTCAATTTTTTAAATTTTTTTTTTTTTTTTTTTTAGTAACACCAAATGATGTTTATTAAAGGATTTTAGAAATTTTCATTTTATCTGCAAATGGTATATTTCCAATTGGATTAGTGTTAGACGTTACTTCATAAATCCTTTTTCAATTTAGTCAAGTTTTATATAATAAAGCAAATGAAAGCAATTACCTTTTGCATCACAATTTGCTGACTCTTGGTCATTGTTGTCTGATATTTTGTCTCTTGACACTTTAATAAGGTAAAGATGCCTCTCTCCAGATTTGGAACTGGATATCAAACAGACCTGGGCTCTATTCATTGCTACCTGAATTAAAGGTGACAATTGGAGATTTTTAAAATCACATAATTCTTTTAAAGAAAACCTAAGGGCCACAAGTACCACAAGTGTACTTGAAAGCTCCATTAAAAAAAAAAAAACAAAAACATGTTGCCATCGAGTTGATTCTGACTCACAGCAATGCTACAGGATAGAGTAGAACCACCCCGTAGGGTTTCCAAGGCTGTAATCTTTAAGGAAGCAGACTGCCACATCTTTCTCCTTCGGAGCTGCTGGTGGGTTCAAACTGCTGACCTTTTGATTAGCAGCCAAGTGCTTAACCACTCTTATCACCAGGGCTCCTGAAAGCTCCCTTATTAAGTAAAAAAGAGGCCAAATTATTATACATATGAACACGTAATTTTGCTTTATTTTCTTCTTATCAAAGAAATGTTGGGTCATACCATTCACCTTAGTAAGGACAAGGAAAGCAATTCACACCTTACAAAGATGAGTACTATGACCTAACATTCCTTTGGTAAGAAAAAAACAATTCAATACACACACAAAAACAGCCACATCCCCACAAAAAGCCAGACTCAGAAAGACAACAGACCTGGAAAACAGGGTGGATTAATTTTGCAGGGTGGATAATTTTGGCATATAGTACTGTCTACAGGGCCAATAACTGATACTACTCAATTTGGACTTCTCTAAATATGTACTAGCAAAGATTTTATTTCACCGAACCTACCGTCAAGTTTATAGTTTCATGTAGAACTTTCAATATATGCCACTAATTTCTAAGTGTTCTGTTTTCAACTGACTTTCACTTAAAAAAGTTTGCTGAGTTTAATGAAGCAAAACATGGCTTTAAAACAGCCATAACCTATATTTAAATCCAAACACTTAAAAGGTCAACGAGGCTAATATAAAGAAAGTTCATACAACAGAACAGTCCGTGATGGAGCAGGAGAAAAGTGGGATGCAAAACTCAAATTCTAATAAAAAGACCAGACTTAATGGTCTGATTGAGACTGGAGGGACCCCAGAAGACATGGCCCCCAGACTCTCCATTAGCCCAGAAATGAAACCATTCCCAAAGCCAACTCTTCAGACAAAGATTAGACTGGACTATGGGACATAAAATGATACTCGTGAAGACAGCGCTTCTTAGCTCAAGTAGATACATGAGATTAAATGGGCAGCTCCTGTCCGAGGGCAAGATGAGAAGGCAAAAAAGGACAGGAGCTGGTTGAACAGACACAGGAAATCCGGGGTGGAAAGGAGGAGTGTGCTGTCACGTTATAAGGAGAGCAGCTAGGGTCACGGCAATGTGCGTATAAATTTTTGTGTAAAAAACTGACTTGAACTGTAAACTTTCACTTAAAGCACAATAAAAAAAGAAAGTTCATTACCCACCTTTAAAAGCATAGCTAACATGGTAAGTAAGGTATCCACATAACCATACATTTTGCCTTGTGAAAACAACAGAGTAGAACGGTGAAGCAACAACTTCAGCTCCTAAGTAAGTAAGCACATGATGATGAGAATCCCAAAGATTCCTTCACTGTAAGTTGATTTATTTATATATGAACGTGTTGTTTTAGAAACCAAACTTTTAAAACATTTGCTATAAAATATTTCACAGTAATTAAGATCCAGTATTTTAGAAACTGTAACCTATAATGTCGAATAAACTTAAGACTCAAAATCACTTTAAAAAACACTGAATTTAACACCCTAAAACTTTTGGATACAAGCTATAGAGACATCCTTAGCTGAGGACAAAGTTCTAAAATATAATCTACTAAGAAAAACTTTCTTCTCTGTTACATGGCCTACCTGCTGTGCAGCATTTGCATCCTGTGCTAAAGTATCTGGATCATACATTGGTTCCAGAGCTTCCAGAGCTTTCTCAGGGCGGTCCAGCTGCTGCTGAAGGGTGGAAAGTGAAATTCTTGCATCCAAATGGAGGGGAGCCAGATCAACCACCTTGCCATAGCTTTCTGCAGCACGCTCCATATAGCCTAAGGCCTTTAAACATTCTACGATGATGTTAAAATAAAACAAAAACATGAACTACTGTTCTGTAAACTGGTCAAAATTGTTATTTCTCTATTTTTAAAGTAATGTAACAACATCAAAAGAAATTACAAGAAAAAAAATACATGCATATTTCTAGTACAGTCACTCCTCACTTTTCGACATGGTTAGGTTCCAAAGACCAGGTTGTTATGCAAAAATTGGCATTATGCAAAAATGGAGTGACCTTATCAGATCACAAAATGGAAGATGACTGCATCATTACATAACTGCCAAAACACTGAGAATAATGGCCCAGACAAGCTGACACATAACCTTAACCATCACAGCCAGCGTTACTCTTGCCTCACACCTCAGCGTTCATTACTGCCAGACATATGTTGTTAATACACAAAATAGTCGGATAGTAGATTTTTTTACTACTGTCATAAATGCAAAATGTTGGATAATAAGACATTCGATAAGTGAGGAGTGGGCATACTTTAAAACAACTATCCCTTTTAATTTCTATCTACCTACTGATTGATAATGCTATCCATCTCTCTACCTAACTCAGTTGCTATAAGGATGTAATCATCACATACATATAATTTTGAGTTGTGCTTTATTCACTAACATTTTAAACATTTCCCATGTGTTCATTAGCATTTCAAATGGCTATATAATAATGATTAAATTGATAATCAGATTATGTGACATTTAGGTTGTTCCCAAATTATTACTATAATAAAACTGCAGTAAACATTTTCATGTATATAAGCCAGAGTCCACAAACTGGCAGACCCAATTTAACCCACAGATGTGTTTTGCTAGACCAGGGTGTTTTCAAAAACTATTAATTAATGGCCAACATTTTTAATAATTAGGATTTTTAGAAAATCCAGATTACTGGATTATTTTGAAAAATCGGAATTTGGCAACAGTGGATCCTCTTACCCCTACATGACACATCAGCCCACGCTGAGGAGCAGCAGCATCCTGTGGACAGGACTCTCTGGTTCTCCCCCCTCCCTACTACTCTCACTTGTACACTTCATTTATTTTGTTACCTGCCAGGCACCTGAGTTCTGTGATCCCCAATATAAACTACCTCCCCTCACTCATTCAATTATTTCCTCAGGATAAGTTCTCAGGAGTAAGGTTGTTGGGCCCTATTTCTCAAACTTTATGCCCAATCAATCACAAAGTCCTATCATTGAAGTGAAAATGAGTCCCTGTAAGCATTTCTTTTTTTGGCTCTAACAGGTACAACCCTAATCTTTCCTTTTTCACTGCAATTATCTCCTAAAATGGTATTTTTGTCCCCAATTTTTTTCTCACATCTCAAATCTCTCCTAAATATCATCTTCAGGTTAATCTTTGGTAATAAGGGAAGAACACTAATATGGATGGAAGATCACAACAACGTTTCTCATAGTTTGTCCTTTTTCATTTTTAATGATATTTTGTTATTTTGCTGTAAGCATTAACTTCTAATGATTTTTCTTACATACTGATTCCAAATTTCTTTATGATTTTTAAACTACCCTGAGTTTTTACCTTCCACTAATCTCCAGCTACAGGGGCTCAAAATGGGAACAGCATTTATCAGCATCATGAGCATAATTAAAAAGCACTTAAAAAATATCAATTACAGGTAGTACAGGTGCAGTTTCAATATCACAGCCTTGGAAAGGCAACAACACTCTAACTTACTGCTCATGGCTTTAAAATTCAAATCCCACAAATAATATAACATTTTATTGATGGTACTACATTTGTAGTCATGTTCACTCATGTAAACAGTATAGTACTATCTTAATCATTAAGTGCTCTCTTTCCTATTTCATATGTGTGATGTGAGTAAGTTACCATCCCAAAATGTCAATCAATGTTTCTCTAGTTATAGGTCTCACTTTCAGTCCTTATGAGGTTTTTTTAAACCAAGACTATTCAAATCTTAAACCATCTTTTATGTTGACCCAATATGAACTCGATCCCATTAGAATATTTTTTGCTTTCACATATTTCTTTAAAGATTTACCTGTGTTTTGTAAGCTATTATTTCCACTCTAAATGATTTATTTCGGATTATCGTGGACTTAACTTAGGTACAATGAGATAAAATGATTGATAAAATCCAATTTTGAGTATATTTGTACTTCAAAGAGCATTGAAAAATACATTAAATATTTTTTCATAAAATAACATACTAAACATAAATCTGTAAAAATGCTTCAAATATTAGATTTCACTCAAATCTGACAAATCTATTACTAAAAACCAGAGTCTATGGTTAAATTGCCGCAGATAGAAGATAAGTAGTTGAGGGACATGTTAGTCCTTCTACTTCATGATGGTACCATTAAGTAAATTATTCCCCCTAAAGCATTACTGAGGGAGAAATCACTTAGTGGCCCACCAATTCAATTTAAAATACTTTCAAAAAACTGTCTCAAAACCAGAAATATTTTCACTAAAATATTAACATTTTATAGAGTTATTAACATATTGGGAAAGTTCCTGCCTGATTCTATTATTAAAACTGCCCCCTCCTCAAAAAAAGGATTACCTGCATGCCGAAGCCAGACTACTGCAAGGTTGTATCTTTCAGAGCAGACTAGTGCACTAAGGAGGGGAAGTGCAGAATTGTATTCACCAACATCCAGAAAAGCTTCAGCAACATCTAGATAGAGATCTCCCATATCTTCAGGATTCTGTTCCACTAGTGTTGTCAAGAGAGGCTAGACCCCAAAATAAAAGCCTAAGTCAAACATTCATAAAAAAAGTGCATATTTATGTATACATAAATTTTTCTTTATAACATACATATTTATGTTATCAGTTACATGAGGCAAGCCAAAAGAAGCAAAGTTTAATAAAATTAGCTTTAAATGATCATTTTTTAAGTTAAAAAAAACTCACCCTTCCATCATTCACTCATTTGACACATTACTTTTGAGGGCCTGTTATTAGAGAGGCATTGCAGGAATGAAGACAACACTGATCTGCCATGCTCTTCCTCTAAAGCGCCAGGTGTAGCCCTGCCTCGGCAAGGCACACCCCCGTGCTCACTGTTCTTTTAGGAAAGCTGTTGCCCCATACCTGCGTGGCTTACTCCCTCACTTCCTTCAGGCTCTTACTGTTATGTCCACCTTTCGGAGAGACCTTTCTTCGTCACCCTATTTAAAACTGAAACTCCCCAACACTCCTTATTCCTCCTCCTTGTTTGCTTTTTCTCTATAGCACTTATCACAACTAACATCCTATACAGTTTACATATTTCATTTATTATCAATCTAATCTCATTAGAATGAAATATCCACGAGGGCAGGATTTGTGTATTTTATTCAATACCTTATCTTAAGGTCTAAAAAGTAGATGCTCAATAAATTTTTGTTAAATGAAATACTTGGTCCAAAGTTGGCAACAGAGAATAGCTGTCAAATTTATCACCAATTGTCTAAAAGGCTCTATCTCACATTCTGACATCTGTTTGTTCTCATTTATTAAAAGAAAAACAAATTACCATAAGCCAATTACAAAACACTTTCAGCTTTTATAAAACATTCATACAAAAATAATTTTATGATTATTACCTCCATGGTTGTTTTAGGAAATGTGAAAATTTAGGGTCAAGTTACAATTTCTTGACATCAGCAAGAAAGAGACTATTTTATCTGAAGCATCTCAAATGCAGACTTTAACGTTACTTACATTAAGTGGTTCCAGGATGTTGAGATGTACAAGGCAGACCATCAATTTAACTGTGATATCTATCGGCACCCCATCAGGTATAGTGCAGGAAACACTCTCACCAGCTGCGGAACAGACAAAAAGCAGTTCCTATATGCAAGGTTAGAATGCAGGACACATGAAACCAAATTGTATTTTCTATGTTAAGATCTCATTAACTTCATTCAAAGCAAACGATTCAATAGTCCTTGTCAGGGAGGCCAACTCTATTATTAGGTTCTTACATCCCCTTTATCCTGTCTTTTGGTAGCAATTATCCTTCCTATTCTTTTCCTAATAACTGATCTACTTATCCCAAACCTGCGTAAATTCCCATACCTTTCATCAAAATTACAGAACTAGGAAGACAAAAATGATAAATGAGAACGTATGAATCCTCCCTTTTTTCTTCCTGAATTCAAAAATTGCCTTTTAATCTTCATTACAAAGAGACTAGGAAAGGGATACGTAACACTGTATTGTTTTCTAAAACTTCATTACAGTAAGACAATTTTTAAAGCCCAGGGAAATTAATTTTTAATCCACATTTAAAGTATATTTTGTAAAGTCTAATAAATTCCAAATTTACATGATTCCATTTCAGAGAAATCTGAAGCACAGAGCGACATCAGAAATGTATTTTAAGTGGTGGAATAAAATTTAAAATTCCATTAAAAATCAAATAATTAAATCTGCTTTACAGAACGTGTCATGTATGGTACTGCCTAAAATTACCAAGTCATAGGTGGTTTTAGTTAAGTTTAACTAAGAGATTGTTTTTAATCATAGAACTCCGGGACAATAACTGATACCAGAAATCTAGCTTTGATATTTAATCTGCTCAATGAGAGAATGAGAGTACTACCATGTAAATTCACTTTGTTGTTTGTTGTTAGGTGCCCTCAAGCTGCTTCCGACTCATAGCTACCCTATGTACAACAGAATGAAACACTGCCCAGTCCTGTGCCATCCTCACAACAGTTGTTATGCTTGAACCCATTGTTGCTGCCACATCAATCCATCTCGTTGAGGGTCTTCCTTTTTTTCACTAACCCTCTACTTTACCTAGTATGATGCCCTTCTCCAGGGACTGATCTTTCCTGATAACATGTCCAAAGTATGTGAGACAAAGTCTTGTCATCCTTGCTTATAAAGAGCATTCTGGCTGTACTTCTTCCAAGACAGATTTGTTCTTCTAGCAGTCCATGGTATATTCAATATTCTTCATCAACACCACAATTCAAAGGCATCAATTCTTTTTCCCTCTTCCTTATTCATTGTCCAGCTTTCACATGCATATGAGGTGAATGAAAATACCATGGCTTGGGTCAGGTGCACATTAGTCCTCAAGGTGGTATCTTTGCTTTTTAACACTTTAAAGAGGTCTTTTGCAGCAGATTTGCCCAATGCAATGCACCATTTGATTTCTTGACTGCTGCTTCCATGGGCATTGACTGTGGCTCTAAGTAAAATGAAATCCTTCACAACTTCAAAATCTTCTGTTTATCATGATGTTGCTTACTGGTCCTGTTGTAAGGATTTTTATGTTGATGTGTAATCCACACCAAAGACAGTAGTGTTTGCTCTTCATCAGTAAGTGCTTCAAGTCCTCTTCACTTTCAGCAAGCAAGGTTGTGTCAACTGCATATCACAGGATGTTAATGAGTCTTCCTCCAAACTTGATTCCCTGTTCTGTTCTTCTTCATATAGTCCAGCTTCTCTGATTATTTGCTCAGCATGCAGACTGAATAAGTATGGTGAAAGGATACAGCCCTGACACACACCTTTCCTGTATATTCCCTTGTTCTGTTTGAACGACTACCTCTTGGTCTATGTACTGGTTCCTCATAAGCACAATTTAGTGTTCTGGAACCCTCATTCTTCAAAATGTTATCCATAATTTGTCATGATCCACACAGCTGAATGCCTCTGCATAGTCAATAAAACACAGTTAAACATCTTTCCAATATTTTCTGCTTTCAGCCAAGACCCATCTGATATCAGCAACAATATTCCTGGTTCCACATCCTCTTCTGAATCCGGCTTGAATTTCTGGCAGTTCCCTGTTGATGTACTGCTGCAGCTGCTTTTGAATGATCTTCAGCAAAATGTTACTTGTGTGTGATATCAATGATATTGTTCGATAATTTCCACATTCTGTTGGATCATCTTTCTTTGGAATAGGCATAAATAAGGATCTCTTCCAGCTGGTTGACCAGGTAGCTGTCTTCCAAATTTCTTGGCATAGACAAATTAGCACTTCCAGCACACATCTGCTTGTTGAAACACCTCAACCGGTATTCCATCGATTCCTGGAGCCTTGTTTTCTACCAGTGCCTTCAGTGCAGACTGGACTTCTTACTTCAGTACCATCAGTTCTTGATCAAGTGTTACCTCCTGAAATGGTTGAATATCGACCAATCATTTCAGGACATAGCATACGATCAAGAACTGATGGTAGTGAAGGAAGAAGTTCAAGCTGCATTGGATCATAAAGCTCTATAATGGCAAGGACCATGTCTATCTGGCTCAAGGCTATAGCCATAGTATATTTCTTCCACAGACAGAAGCTATGGTCACACATCCGAATAAGGATTAAACACAATGCACTGGCTTTAATAGCCCTCTTGACTTTACTAAAATGAGATGCTACCTCTATTATATATGGGTTAAATGTTCCCGAACTCTGTATCATTTTGATTTTCTTTCTAGAAATACTGTGCAATAAAATATATCTATGTATTTTAACTTCCAAAAAGAAATGGTAAGGTTATAATGTATGAAAAAGAAAGAAGGTGGAATCACTGAAATATAGTAAAACACATTAAATGATAAAATAATTGATTATAATGATAGTTAAAAATGAACACAACTCTGTGTTTCTATAATACTTTTCCAAACAAAAGACAGCAATAATTTTCAACACAAATACAATTTTCTAGAAGATAAATCTTAAACAGAAACTATGGCTGCAAAATAACAATTGATAACCTAGTCTAGGTCCAAGAAAGGAATCAAAATTGGCAGAGTCCTTCAGATGCCCTAATGCACGCTTTCATACCACGCCAATTCCTACTCCTTGCTCTACTCAATTTATACCAGCCGATCACTCAGGCTCCCCAACCAAAGCACCCAAACTGATCCTGCCCATACAAGGCAATGCTCTCACACCCTGGGAACTCAGTCTGGAATGCACGGATGTTTGCCTGAGGTCTGCTTAAACTGTTCCCCTATAAAACTCCTTTGATCCTTAGTATACTGCCCACAACTCCTCCTGTTATAATTAAATTGTATACATTTCATTTGAGCCCTCTTCCCTTCCCTACTTCCTTGGGAAAAATGTCATACTATCTATTCTCCACACATCTAGCATTGTACTTTATAGGAAAGTTTTACAGAATTGGGCTTTTCCTCTCTCAACAAACTTTCTGCTCCAGCATTTATCTGTTCCATATCCCACCTTAGTGCTTACTCTCTATGAATTAGCACAAATTGATTTGTGCAAATAAATTACTACTCCCCATTGGGATAGGATCTTTTAAATAACAGGGTTTTTGAGTAATTGTACCTTAACCTAAAGGGTTACATACATGATGATGGAATTTTTAGGCATCATGACAGGCCAGGGAGGGAGTTATTTTTAAACACACAGTCTTTAGCACCAACTCCCCACAACGACCATCAAAAGCCTCACTGGTTGGGGTGGAACGTACTACTCCACAGTTCTCTTATAAGCATAGAAGATGTCTATTCTGCCCATAGATAAGACCAGTTTTGTTACAACGTCAGATAGGGTCCTGCATGTTAGTATTTTCACAGAACAGGCTAATAGGAGTGGTACTTAGAAAACAGCCAGGATGACAGAAAGAGGTAAATGAGACCCTGAAAACCAGCCTTCAGGCATGATTTTCTAATGAGATGTCTAATTACACATTTAGAGTTTTCAAACAATGTAGGGTAGTCATATTAGCTTCTACTTTTTATATGAATGCTTAAGTTTGAAGTAGAGTTTTTAAAATCAGAGCATTTTTAAGACTTTCTGAAAAGTAAATTGCTTTAGATCTAAATATTTTTGGTAAGTAGTTCAGTAATTCATTCTTTTTCCATGTAACACTAAGAAAGGCCCTGGGTCAATGAGAAATGCCATGTTCAAATGGATATATTGAGAAATAAAAAGACTCAAACACTTTTTAAAAAAAAAATTACTTGTGAGTCAATACTCACAAGAAAAAGATATAAAATCTCTCTGAAGAAAAATGCTGCTTGGGAAAATTTACTATGTGAACATTAACTATCAACTCAAAACACCATATTATGAGCAAAGGAGGATCATATACACTTTCCTATGCAGAGCAAACTACAACCTTTATTCTCTTCCAGGGTGCCTTCTTCTGTAGTTCTTTTTTCCAGCACGATTCCAGAAAAACCAGTAATTACCTCAAAGAATGGGAAAAAAAAAAAGGAAATAATATAGTAGTTACATAATGAAAAACCTTTTCACAACACAAAGATTTATACAGTTTATTCAAAGAATTCTTACAACACATAAAGGGGATATAAAAAGGAACAGTAAATCTTTTTTAAAATAGGAAGTACTGTGGTACATTAGGAGCCCTGCTGGTGCAGTGGTTAAGAGTTTGGCTGCTAACCAAAAGGTCAGCACTGTGAATCCACCAGCCACTCCTTGGAAACCGTATGGGGCAGTTCTACTCTGTCCTATAGGGTCACTAGGAGTTGGAATCGACTCGATGGCAATGGGTTTTTTTTTTTGGCTGGTACGTTAACATTTTTATATCACATTTACTAACGTTAACTAAAGATATTCCCCAGCATCAAACCAACCTACTTTTTCCAACAGCTTAAGAAATGAATACGAGCAATTACACCCACTCCTCACTTATCAGCTATCTCGGTACCAGACATTTCACGCTTACAACAATAGTAAAAAATTCACTGTTTTGCACATTAACGATGTATGTCTAGCAGTAACGAATGCCAAGATGTGAGGTAAGAGTAATGCTGGCTGTGATGGTTAAGGTTATGTGTCAGCCTGGCTGGGCCATGATTCTCAGTGGTTTGGCCATTATGTAATGATGTAATCTGGCACTTTTGTAATGATGTAATTTGGCAGTTGTTTAATGTAGTCATCCTCCATTTTGTGATCTGATGTGGTCATCCTCCATTTTTACATAACACTGATTTTCGCATACGATCTGGTCTTTGGAACCTAACCATGTCGATAAGTGAGTAGTGGATGTAGTCGTTAAGTCCTGCTACCCTGAAGTATAGACATAACTTGGCACTTGGGATAACAGCAGTATCTTTTATCACCTATAACTACATTTTACATTTCACATGGAATCTAGAAATCTATTGTTTCCATATAGATTCTTAATATATATAAGCCCTGGTGGCACAGTGGTTAAGGTGCTCAACTGCTAACCAAAGGATCAGGGGTTCAAAACCACTAGCAACTCCGTGGGAGAAATACATGGCAGTCTGCTTCCATAGAGATTTACAGCCTTGGAAACCCTATGGGGTTGCTGTGCATTGGAACTGACTCAACATAGCGGGGTTTTTTTTGGTACATGTATACATGCATATGCATATATATACATATATATATATGTATATCAGTATATAAATAAGTTAACATATAAAACTAAAATGAGGATCTGTCAATTTGTAAGAATTCCTAGTACACAGAAATACATTCAAAACCTAACACAGAAACATGTAAATGTTCCTACCTCCAAAGCTCTATCATACTGTTTGTTAGAAATGAATAGTTCAGCTGCTATGTTAACATCTTCCATGGAGACTAGGCCTTGGTGTTTTGAGAAAGCTTCTTCAATAATGTTAATAGCTGAAGTAACATCATTGGCTTCATAGTAACTCCTAAAAATGTAAGTGGCAAATGGATGAATACTTATTTAACTCAGATTATAAAATGTATGTCCTTGCTTAGGCCCTCTAACAATTAACTGTGATTTTCATTTTCCTAAAATTTGGGAGAAAAATCTTCTTCAAAATCATAACTAGAACTGATCCAGAGGAATATGTGCCATGTCAGTGTAATAAGGTCATAATTTCAAGCATCGCACTCTCCAAAAGCTACTTCCTATCATTCTAGCTCATTCCCTCTGTAATGTAATACCAACAACTCTTCTACTTCAACAGGATCTACAAAGCATTGATCCTACCACTTTTTCACTGACCCCTGCACCCTTCAGGTCCTCACTTTCCTCTCTCCCCGTGGTCCAACATTATAATTACTTCCTTGTACAACTCCTCAATTCTCTTGCCCTTCTCTCCCTTTATCAACATCATCTGATAAAAACCTAACCGTGGTTAAGTCCAACTATGTCTATTTTTTACCACCACCTGCCGAACTGACCATAGCTAGAGAAAAACACCCAACCATGCTGACCGATCTCACTCTAAATGAATGACCACTAGCCTTAAATGAGCCCATGGTGCTGATCAGCAAACTTACTACATTTATCTAATCCAGTGCTTCTCAAACTTGAATGTGCACACAAATCAACTGGGGATCTTATAAAAGGATTTATTCTGATTCAGTGAAGCTGAGGCAAGGCTGAAATCCTGTATTTCTGACAAGCTCTTAGGTGATGCAAATGCTATCAGTCTGAATACAAATATATTGTAATTATTCCCAACTTAAACAATTCTCTCTTACCTCTACAACCCATCCCTATATATTCTTATATACACAATTTTCTAAGCAATCTTGAAAACAGACCTGGAAACAGAAAAGTACTGAAAAACCACCTCCATATTTAGGCACAATATAAAATACAGAAAGCAAAAACATGATTTCCTAACTTCTCTGAACTTCAATGAAATGTATATTCTACTTCAAACATACACTTTGATTTCTAAAATAAGATGGTTAATAGAACATTTTGTGGGATAGCAAGATCCTAGACAACTATGTCACATTTTCTCTCTATTCAAACCTCCAACACTCTCTCACCCTCACCCTTAGCTGACGACGTTGCTTCTTATTTACCAAGAAAAGACAATCAAATCAGGAGACATCCCACATACTCCCACATCTACCTACTTACCTGTACCTGTGGCCATACCCTCTGCCTTCCTCCTTTATCAGGGATGAACGGTTAGTATACATAAGGCCAACCTCAACTAGATCGCATTCCCTCTAACCTACTCAAGGATACCATTCAAGCAACTGTCGTTCTCTCACAAATCTTCAATGTGTCCCTCAATTTTGGAATATTGCCATCTGAATACAAATATATTGTAATTATTCCCAACTTAAACAATTCTCTCTTACCTCTACAACCCATCCCTGTATATTCTTATATACACAATTTTCTAAGCAATCTTGAAAACAGACCTGGAAACAGAAAAGTACTGAAAAACCACCTCCATATTTAGGCACAATATAAAATACAGAAAGCAAAAACATGATTTCCTAACTTCTCTGAACTTCAATGAAATGTATATTCTACTTCAAACATACGCTTTGATTTCTAAAATAAGATGGTTAATAAGAACACATATATACATTTCACTCCAAACTTACTTTGCCATATCTCTAGCCAACTGCATAAAACGTTCTCCGTCAGATGGAGTCAAATAGTTTAAAATCCGCCTATAACCATCCATTGCCATTTTATGATCTCCCATCTGCTCATAAAGGCTTGATCGCTCCCACAGATAACGGACATTAGTAGGTTCATATTTAAGGGCTGAAAAGAAAAAGGGAATATAAATTATGATTTAACACAAAAAAGGGTGCACTGTACCTGTGTGTGACCAAGCATCTTTTCAGAAATTTTAATACTTTAAATTAATTCTCCAACGGAACTAAGGACATTATTCTGTAATAAATCTGTCTTCACAGGAACTCTTGACCAAGTGTAAGACTAAACAGAACCTGAATCTCGATGTCAGACTTCTTCATTTGGACTCTTGTCTGACGTTACATTTGAGGAACAGTTCAGAACCAACACTGATCTTGGCGGTAGGAAACTGAAGGTACTGTTCATCTACCAACTTCAGTGCTACAACAGCTCACAATATAATAAAGTTGCTGATAAACGTGAAAACAGAGCAGCCCCGAACACTTACTTCTGGCATAAAAGGCTATAAAGAATAAATATATTTCACCCAACATCACAACACAGAATAGCATCAAGTACAACTATCAAATAGCCTATTATGTAACACTTTATCAAACAAAATGAGAAAAAATTTTAATTACCTTTCGTATAGCAAAAAATAGCCTGCTTAATATTGTCTTGTTCCAGAGACATTTCTGCCAGTCTAACCCACTCTTCTGTGTCACTGGGATTTAAATGTGCAGCAATCAACTCAAACTGTAACGATTTCTCCATGTCACCTTGGTCCTCATATATCATGGCAAGAGTAGAGAAAGGCTCATAAGCCAGAGGAGCTATAATGAATTTAAAAAAAAAACAAATTCCAGAGTTTATGTTAATGGAGAAACAACTCAGAAAAGGAGAGTGAGAATGGTTGCACAACTTGACAAATGTAATCAATGTCACTGAACTGTATGTACAGAAATTATTGAACTAGTGTATGTTTTGCTGTGTATATTCTCAACAACGACAAAAATTAATTAAAAACAAATTCTACTGCCTGAGGAAAGAGGCTTAAGCTGACTTAATCCTACCGTTCAAACTAAGAATCCTTCAACGCTTAAGTTCTTTAAAACAGTCTAGCAGAATTATACACACTACTTAATGGAATTTAGGATAAACACTAGACTATAATTTGCTTAATTTTATTTTCATCAATTTGTAGCATCTTTAAAGTATTATTTTCTCTAATGAAAGTATAATTTCTCCACCAAACTCTCCTGTAAAAACTCTACCCTTCACTAAGGCTGAGCATGGCTCAACAACTCAGAAAGTTCACTTCAATGAGCATGAGCCACATCAGTAGAAGTCAATCCTCAGGTTCTAGCTCCCATACCAAGTAGTACGAGATGAACTGATATATGACACCCATGCAGCACCTAAACCCTGGATATTTAAGTACACAGTTAATCTCCATTTCTGAAACAACGTTTCTGAAATGAAGTTCAAGATTACTGGTGATTAAAAAAAAAAAGATAATTGTCAAAAAATATATAAACTCAAATAAAAGAACAAATGATACTGAGGGAAAAAGTTTGTTTTTTTTTTTTAAATAATATTTTATTTTGTACTCAGTGTAAGTTTACACAACAAATTAAGTTCCCATTTGACAATTTCTACACAAATTGTTCAGTGATATTAGTTACATCTTTCACAATGTGTCAACATTTTCTTTCACAGCATTCTACTTGTTCCATTTCCAATACTCTAGTTTCCCTGCCCAATTAATTTTATTTCTGATGGGGTAAAAAGAAAAAGCAGTGGCTTCAAATTACCCTAATGAATAATCCAGGCAATTACAAAAAAAGAAGAAGAAAAAAAACTTCTTTGAATGGGTTTATATTTTGTTATATTTTCACCAAAAAACAAACAAACAAAAAAACTCTGAAAGAACCCTAGTCCAAATGAAAAGAAATACCAAAATATTGAAGAGATGAATTAAAGTAAACTGTACTATGACTATCTAAGCCACTATGCAGGGCATCATTTGGCAAAACCTCAGGAAAAGCTAAATAATAAATATAAGTGATCAGTCAAATGTTCCAGAGATATTCTGAAGCTGTTCTTCAATAGGCCCATGGTTTATAGTTTAATGGAGAGATAAGATGACAAGTTTAAATTTGTGTTTTTTACCAAAACAATGGTCTAGTAGGTTAAAACAATCTAGTCTGCCTGATCTTGGAAATAGAAGAAAGAATGCTCTTCAAGTCGTTTTAGTGTAATATGTCTGCATATATAAAAAAGACTACAAAAGTCTAAAGCCCCTAAAATGAAAGATTAAAAACAAAATAAACAAAAAGAGCCTGTAAGACCTTAATAAATAGTAACAATATTTCATTGAATCAAACCCTGTGATTTTCATTTTCTTGGTAATGATTCCAATTCATGTGAAAAGTGGCAAGTCACTGATATCACAACCACTTCAAGCTTCTGAATACATTTTCCAAATGGTACAGTGAAGTACTCCTCCATTTGTTTTCAGACTATTAAATTGCTATCATCAATAAAATCACCACAGAACACACCTTGTCTTATGATTTCCATGCACATCAAGATCGCTTCTTCACGTTCTCCTCGAGCGAAACGAATGTTGGCTTCGCCCATGAGACCTCTCAGAGCTCTGGGAAGTTTACTTCGAGGCCTTTTCTCCTGTATGGAGGAAAAATGACATTTAGATTAAAATATACTTAACTCTTAGATTTTAATTCCAATCACCTTAACAAATACAGAAAATGATGAAACTGAAATTTTCCTTTAGTACTTTTCAATCACCTAAATTCGGAATGGAAGACCAAATGGTTGCAATTCTAAATGACTCACTAACATTTAAGTCTACATTTCAGGAAAAAGCATAAAACTCAACTTCAGGAAAATAACAGAAATTATTCTGATACTCTTAAAGAAGAGCATCTTAGCAAGTTTAAAAAAAAAACAACAAAAAAAGATTCCTACAGTAGAAAGTTCAAAGCACAGTAAAATATATAAAGAAAGCAAAAACTAAACTGGTTAGGAACTACGGTATTACTAATTAGAACAGTAGCAAACTCAGAACAAAATGGATTTGTTTGCTAGAGACTTACTATGATGTAATCTGCTAAAGATCCTCTTTCCTTCAAATTTGTCCATTCAGAATGAACTTGGTTTAAAAAATATGTTATAACACGGAGCTTTTAATAGCAAAACTACAACATATTTTGACACATGCAATAATTAGAATTTTACATAAAAAACCTCTAAAAGGAAACATAAGAATCCAGTGACAGTGGTTGTTTCATGGTATCTTCTTTCATATAGCTTGAACTTTTTCCTAGGTATATGTATAATTTAAAGGCTTCTTTTTCAATTATTTTGTCAATTTTTTTACATTATGTTTATAATAACCAAAATAAGTAACAATTTACTTTCATCATTTTTTTGGTTTCACGATTGAGAACCATCTCCAATACAAATACATCGCCTGCAGTGGGTTGTTCAGATGTTTCTTCCTCCTCTTCCTCTTCGTCCTCTTCCTCCTCATCATCTTCATTCTCTCCAAGCATGGAAGCAAAAACCTTGTGAACTGACTTACTGACTCCATCTGACGTTTCTCCTGAGGAAAGACACGTTGACGTTGCCAAAAAAAAAAAAAAACTCAACAGTCAAAAGACAAAAGCAGTACTCAAAGTCACTCAGTTCTCCCACTTATCTGGAGTAGAAAATATCTATCTGGAGTATAAATTTCTTTAAAAGTAAGAAAGTAAACACCCCCAATAACCAACCAAAAGAAGAAAGCTATCACAAAGCCATATATTTTACTCTACAGAAACAGCTGACTCATCCTTCAGTCCTCATCCAGATCTAAAAGCAAAATTAAGTAGGAAATCAGAAGCACACACAGGAACAGTTAAAAATATAGAGAAAAGATAAAACATAAGAATTAAATAAACGTGGTGGTACAGAACTAAATGGTATAGCATAGTTATATTAGGTATAGCATGAGGGCTCTAGAGCCAGGTTGTCTGGGTTCAAACTTCACCTCCATCTATTGCTAGCTGTGTAACCTTGGGCAAATTACTCAAGCTCTCTGTACCTCAGTTTCCTCATTTGTAAAGTGGCGTTAATGATAATGCCTGTCTTTCAGGGTTGCTCTAAGGATAAATTGAGTGTGTGTGTATGTATGTATTTAGAATAACACCCATCAGACAGTTAACGATTCAATAAGTGCCGGTAATAGTATTAAAGGAGCCCTGGTGGTACAACGGTTAAGCATTCAGCTGCTAAGTGAAAGGCCGGCAGTTCTAACCCACCCAGGAGTTCCCTGGGAGAAAGACCTGGCAATCTGCTCCTACAAAGATTATAGCCTAGAAAACCCTATGGGAAAATTCTACTCTGTTACATGGGGTCACTGAGTCAAACTGACTGGATGGCACCTAACAACAATAACATTTAGTGTTAAAATAGTATCGTTATTGTTTCAGGGACAAAGTAACATGATAGACTTCATCTGAATCTTAGAATTCCATTAAAGCACAACAATTGTTTTATGTTGATAATAATCTTGGATGACCAAGAAAAGTTAAGTTCTGAAGCGTCTTTTCTGTTAAACAAAGCAGAAACATGTAACATATTTTAGAAAAGTTCCAACAAAAGTTAAAATTTTAAAAAATATGATTTTTGTGTTCAAAAAATCTTTCAGCTTGAATGTAAGATGTTAATATAATCGGAGAAACTGTGTGGCGGGGAAAGGGGGATATTCAGGAACTCTGTGTACTTTATGCACAACTTCTGTAAACCTAAAACTGCTCTAAAAAATCAAATCTATTTAAAAAAAAAAAAAAAAGTAAGCATATTCACTTAAGTGAAATACCTTCAACCCCAAAGATTTCTTACTTAATTTGGATAAATTAGATAATCAGTATATTTAAGGAAGAACAGATTTAAAAACTCCCAAGTTCTGAGCAACAAGTAATTATTATTATAAAGTCATAAGGACCATTTTCAAGAATTCTGAACATCCAAAATAAAGATGAAAAGAAATGTGTAAAGGATCTCTTGATCAATGAAATTCACCAGAGTAACAGAAAAAAGGAGCAAAAAAATCATATGATCATCTTGATAGGTATACAGAAGCATTTGACAAAATTCAACATCCATTCCTAATGAAAATTCTTAGTCAACTAGAAATGGAAAGAAATATCTTTAATTTGATGAAGAGTATATACAAAAAACTTCCCACAAACGCACTTAATGGCAAATCATTTAAAATTACTGGGACCGAGACAAGGATGCCTACTATCAACACTTCCACTCAACCTTCTACTGAAGATCCCAGCCAATGCAATCAGATAAAAGAAATAAGGCACAAAGATAGCAAGGAAGAAATAAAATTGTTCTCATTCACAGATGACATGATTACTTACATAGAAAATTCAAAAGAATCTACATACCAACCGTCAGAACTAATAAACTTCCTGGATACAAGGTCAATATACAAAAATTAGTTATATTTTTATATACCAACAACAATGAATAAAAAATAAAAGAAGGCCCTATCTGCACCGTGTCTGGGAAAGGGGCTCAAGAGCAAGAATTTAGCAGTGGTATTCAGCAATGAAGGTCCCTGGGTGGCATAAACGGTTTGCACTTAACTACTCACTAAAAAAAAAGGAGCCCTGCTGGCGCAGTGGTTAAGTGCTCAGCTGCTAACCGAAAGGCCAGCAGTTTGAACACACCAGCCTGCTCTACAGGAGAAAGATGTGGTAGTCTACTCCTGTGAAGATTACAGCCTTGGAAACCCTATGGGGCAGCTCTAGTCTGTCCTATAGGGTCACTATGAGTCAGAACAGACTTACAGGCAACACATTACTAACCCAAAGGTTGGCGATTTGACCCCACCCAGTAGCTCGGTAGTAGAAAGTTCTGATGATCTGCTTCTACAAAGATCACAGTCAAGGAAACCCTCTAGAGCTCAGTTCTACTCTTTAACACATCAAGTCACCCACCATGAGTCGGAATCAACTCGAGGACAGTGGGTTTTTGTTTTTTATTCAGCAGTGTCCAGAAGACGAAAGACAATTACCTAGTGGCCATATATTCCAATTAGCCAACTTTGCCAAACCCTGTTCAAAACTGATCCTTTCTTCTGCTCATCAAGGGTCTAGTACAGTTCTGGGACAATTCCTTTCCGAGACATTGACGACTTTTTATCTTAAAAGAACTGATGGAATTACTTGTGCTGAGGGTACATAGTCCTAGTGCAGCTGGCCACTACTGATGAGCCAGAACTGGACTCAGTTGGCCCCTTTTTTAGGGAGGGCCTAATGGCCACCCCTCAGGGAGCTTCGGACAGCAGGACTGGAGGTACTCAGTGGTGCCTGCTGCTACAGTTGCACCTCAAAAACCTGATGATAGAAGAGCTGCTCCACCCCCAGGTGGACAAGGAAGGACCCACAGATTGTTAGAACATCAGCCCCCTTCTCTACCTCACCTGATTGACAAGGTAAGAATTTTCTAACCTCAATTTTCTCTTTTTTTCAGCTAGGAATCATGCCCTTTCTTCCCTACATGGTCCAGACAGGCAGAAATAAAGTTTGTTTGTTTCCTGCCTACCTTTGTAAATGTGTGCTCTCTGTGTACAGGCCTATTTGTTTAGAGGAAAAAGAACCACTTCTACTTCTATACCCCAGAACTAGAAAGTTTAGTTCTCAATCAGACCCAATACACAAAACATCCCAGGTAACCTGACATAGACAAATGGATACCAAGAACTATTAACAGCACTGTGATCACTAGAAAGGTGCATCAACTACTGTACTGGAAATTAATAAATTAGCATACTGCTCATTTATCAGGCTCTGTTAGGCTGGGTGTAGTAACTAAATTTAATACCTGGATGCAGAGCTGAGGCTGAATTCTGGAATGAGGTAACATACTAAGATACCTATGCTGCTTGTGAGGTCCCATATGGGCAACCAATCTGCCTTTCACTCTGATATTTCTATCTTACCCCCGTACAACTAACGCAGTGGTTTGGAAGCCACTTTATAGAAAAGTGTAATTCATTACAATTTGGGGGCATGCAGTTTGGAAGTAATTAGTCATCAACTGAGAAAGCCAACTTAAAAAATACTGACTCTAAAAAGGCCCCCAAAACAAATGCTGATGTCAATTCAAAACACTTTTCCAACACTGGAACTCACAAAAATAACCATCACCGTATTCAACAACTCAAATATTTATTAGTACCTATTATACATCAAGCACTGTGCTCCTGATAAATGACATAATCGACAACAGAATATTATTGCAATAAAAAATGTTTCCATTAAATTACTTTGCTTAGGTAGACAACATTTAAAGCAAGTAGCAAATGTTAACATACCATCATTGACATCTTTGTTCTGGGATTTGGTAGAGAGAATTCCCGATGATGATGGAACTTCAAAGTCATTTTTATTTTCTTCAGCTGATAACTTTCTTTTTTCCTGAAGACTCTGTGATTGAAAATTAATGATTCCAAAAACTAATGCTGATTTTGCTGTCCCTATCTGTGAACACATCATTTGCCTCATTTTATTTATATTCCTATATATGTGTATATATATAAAAGCTTTCCACACATACATGGAGTCTAAAATTTAACAGTCAAAGCATTTCAAAATACTTGGGCTTCATACTTTAGTTTGAATCAGTCATTGGTACATATAATAACAAAAATACTATCTTGACAAATTTCATTAATCTACACATTGTATCCTAGTCTCTTAAATTAAAAGAGATGGGGCACTACCAGCTGCATGGATTAGGAGAAAAATCTGACAGCTAATTTCAAAAAGTGCAATTACTTTTATTGTCCCTCTGACTTCAAATAACTGAGAAGATATGGAAAGTTCAGATACTTTTTCACAAGCGTTTTGAATACTTACGAAAAAATATGTACGAAGGTTTTCTTGTTACCAGACAAGTTTTTTTTTTTTTTTTTTTTTTTTGGTAGAAGTTACATACCACTGGGAAACAGCTAAAAATGAGAGCTCAACCCTCGTCAGTTTCGAAATAGGAAAACTGTGGCCTAAAGAAACGAGCTGACTTGCCCACCCAAAATTACAGAACGACTTCGTGGCCTAGAGCTGGAACCAGGTAAGACACTCTGGCCCCAAACTCCACACCCTATTCCCCCACCCCCATTTAACCTGTTGTTGTTAGTTGCCCTTTAACCTACTAACGCTCTACTACCGTCAAAAGAGCACATTTTACCGAGACAAAGGCAATTCGGGGGGAGGAGGGGGAGGTTGGGATTTTTAAGAGGAATTTAACACAGGGATAAAGAAGAGGGTGAGGACGGAGTTGCGATAAGAAGACTAAAAAGACGCTACGAGTTCCCGGCCTGCCCTATCGCAGCGAATGAGGTCATCTGAGCCCCAAAATCTTTTTGTGTACTCGGGGAGAAAGAGGGAGGAGCATTCAGGCCTAGCATCGCCTCACTTTCTTCTCGCGGTTTTTTCTCTCTTCTCTCCGCCCTTCGAACTCCTCAAAGGAGATTTTCCCTTCCAGGTAGTCGATGAGCTCCGGGCTGAACCCCGACATGTCTAGTGGGTTCGGCTACGCAGCCCCAGGAACCGGGATAGATAACCGGAAGAACAACGCCAGCTAGAGTCTACCCTCCACTGGAACCCGTCGTCCTCTCGAGAAACCGACCCGGCCTGCGGCGTAGCCGCCGCGTTCGGGTTCCGCAGGCGCGCCGGCCCCGGGCCTGTTTCCCGGCGGCGGGACTCTCCTGGTGGAGGCTCAGTGCACAGGGCCTTGCTGGATCGCGTCTCCTCCGGTTTAAGATTATTCAACAGCTGAGGAAAATGTGTTTTAAAGAGGTTTTCCTTAATCTAAATAATTTCCCTCAGTTCACCATTAAAATGTTTGTTTCATTTTCGTATCTATTTCTCTTTCTGAATGTTCTTTAAATTACTTTGGTCTTTGCTGTAGTGATTTATTTCTTAATCTAACCAATTGCTCTGCGACGTGCGTGTGCTGCTTTGCGGCTCTCCCCGCCTCAAAAGGTGTAATTTACGCTGTAAATCCCATCCTCTTCAATCGATAGCACCGTGAGTTTTCCCTTCCTCCATAAATCCCCATACTCTCCATTTGCTAGGGCTCCTTCTCAGTTTGTAAATGGTTTATCTGGACTTCACATTCCACCCACTAACTTCTACTCAGTTTTTCTTATTTTCCTAACAGTCAAGCTTTATAACCATACTTGCTATGGTTACCATACCTTGTTGCCCATTTACTATAGGCCATGTACAGTCTTAGGCACATTACATACATATTTCAAAATAATCCTTAGAAGTGGATGTTGTTACTTCTAATGCCAAGATCCCATGGCTAATAAATAATGGAGCCAGGATTTGAATCCTGGTCTGTCTGACTCCAAACCCCATGCTTGGAATTACTATAATACACTGCCTGCCCTCAATGGTACTATTTTTTTTTTCACCTCACACACAGTCTTGTGATTATTTTACCTTGTATTAAAATTATTTCTCTGTTCTTCCTCTTCTAGCTACATTAGACTGTAAGCATCTTGAGGACAGCACTACCTGACATGTCTTTGTGAACTCTACTCTGTAGCCTAGTAATCTGTGCTCAGATTTTACAAAGGAATTACATGGAATTGAAAGTACCTTTGGGATGGGCAATGGAGTTGAGGTACGGGGAATGTAGCTCAAAACACAGCTAAGGTTAGAGACAAATTACAGGGAGCCTATCACTTGGCCATCTGTGCCTCTTTGTGACTATCCAGTTGGGAATAAACAATGGTAAGATGGCAGAAAGAGAGACCAGAACCTGAAAAAGGGAAAAATCCCACTTCCTACCCCTCACCCCCATTTAACCTGTTGTTAGTTGCCTTTTAACCTACTAAAGCTAAATCAACTGTCAAATAAACTTTTCCATTTGGCAAAAGAGCAAAAGAAGGGGAGGTTTTACCAGGGGACGAAAAACAGCTCACAACTAGAAGTCATCCCCTTTCTCATGATAAAGGCGCCTCAGGGTTCTACCTGGATACAAAATATGGGAGGTGAGTGGGGCGGGGTAGATTAAGGTAACCCACACAAATCACTTATAGGGAAATTTTCCCCCGAATTTCCTCAGGCAGATAGGGAATCCCATCTAAGAAGTCAAGTCTCTAGCCCTAACTGTCCTAGGGGAAAAGGAAAAATCAGAATGAGGAGAGATGGTTACCTGATAAAGACAATGTGCCTAACACCCTTTATAAGGGAGCTGCTAGCAAACCTGCCTAGATTCCCTTGTATAATTATTGGCTGCTCAGAATGTGGGAATGACAGTTCTCGAGATTTAGATTCACTTTATGGGAAATGGGGGAGGGGGGAGGGGGCAAAGGGCAAGGGGCAATAGTCTCGAGGGTTCATCTAGTCTCTATCAGTCCAGTAAGTCTAGCTTTTTTTTAGGAATTTGAGTTTTGTTTTACATTTTTCTCACATTCTATCCAGGACCATCTGTTGAGTCCCTGGTCGAAATGGTCAATAGTGGTAGCCAGGCACCATCTAGTTCTTCTAGTGTCAAGGTAGGTGATGTTGTTGTTCATGTAGACTAATAGTTTTGTAGACTAGTTTCTTCTTTGAGTCTTCGCCTTCCTTCTTTCTCTTTAGCTCCAGATGAGAAGAGACCAATAGCTGTATCTTAGATTGCTGCTCACAAGCTTTTAAGACCCCAGACGCTACTCACCAAGCTAGGATGTAGAACATTGTCTTTATAGACTATATTATGCCAATTGACTGAGTTGTCCCCACGAGACTATGGCCCTAAGCCCTCAAACCCAGTAGACCAATCCCATGAGGTGTTTGGTTGTATCTAGGAAGTATCTATCACTGTGCCCCATGTGCTTTACTTATACTTGAAAATATACACAGCACACATAAACATGTATATACATATGCCTACAGTTATTCATATATGCCTTCCTATACATATTTATGCATACTTATATATCTATCTACATCAATTTTTATGGTTATAGAGAGAAGAAACACTCCAAAAATATATACATAAGGCATATATGCCTCAAAGGTCCAGCTTTTTATATGTAAATCTGGAAATGTAGAATAAAATCATTACAAATTGACAAATAAAAATGGAGGGAAAAAAAAACAAAAGTTTAGCTGTGACTATGGTTGACATTTTCTAAAAAGAAGCTTCATCTGTAGTTTAAAAACAGCCAGAACCTAAAAGAACAAGAACATGTTATAATAAAATAGAAAATGAAGACTGTACAGTCAGCACAAAGACCCACAGATCTACATATTTCAATGAACACTCTTTTTGTCTTCATTTTCTAATCAGATGTTAGGAAAAGAGCTTGTAATTATAAAATATACTCCACATCAGAAGCCTTACTTCTTTCACCATGTTGAATAATTTCGAGTATATTACAATACTGCCACTGGGTGCTACCTCTGCACCCTGCCTTTAAACATTACTTCATTTCAGGCACACATTAAAGTATTTATTTGACATTTTCTGTGATACTTCTATGATGTTTCTGTGAGGTACTAGAGATTAATATTTGCAATTTGTACATGAAGAAAATGCGGCTTACAAGCAAATTGTTTGCAATACCGCCACGTTCTAAAGCAGGTGGTGGTTGTTGTTAGCTGCTGGCAAGTCAAACCCCTGACTCATGGGGACCCCATGCAGTGGGATCAAACCACTGTGATCCACAGGGTTTTCACTATCTGAATTTTAGAAGTAGATTGCCAGGCCTTTCTTTCTAGTTTGTCTTAGTCTGGAAGGTTCACTGAAACCTGTTCAGCATCACAGCAACACATAAGCCTCCACTAACAGATAGGTGGTGGCTGCCTTTGAGGTTCATTGGCCAGAAATCTAACCTCGGACTGCCACATGGAAGACGATAATTCTATCACTGAACCACTCTACCGTCTCTGAAGTTGGTACCATGGTATTAGTAACTATTCTCCTATGTTTTAGTGTCTGATACTCTAGGGCCTACATGTGAAAAATAATCAAGGTAACCCTTCACTGACATGTTTCTGTTTATTCTATGTTATTTTCTCATTTTAGGACAGTTTTCAAGTGCATTTGCCACGTGATAAATTGTGTATTCTTTTTAGACTAACAATCATTATTTTTTTTAATGATTACATTTAAAAGAACTAATAATCAAAATCCTTTCACAAACACATTGAAATGCAAAAACTGTTTCCTCACAATTTCATCCGTAGGCTTGTAGAAGAATGGGAATAGATTTTAATTATGATTCAGTTCCTTTTATTATTCTGCTGAACAAAAAGTTAATGGACTAGAATCATAATGTATTTTCTTGGAATGCACCATACTGTTTCTTTTAAAATGGTAGGCATTTGTTTGATAGGAATGCTAAAGTAATAAGACTACTAAATTTCAAATCCTAAACATAAGTAAATTTTAATTTCTTTCCTGTGAGAAAAATAGCATCTTTACTAATATTCTACCCTTTCTCTAGCTGAGGAAGTTCAGGCTCAAATTATGTGCTTAATAATTTCTCCAAAAGGAACCATTCTTTTAATTTTTACTTTTCATTTATTCTACCTGCTCAATTTGGCATATTTCCTTTATATATGATTTTCCATGTAACTTAGATGTATGGCCTGGTCTGAAAAAAGATACAGATAACAATGTGTGCTGTTTCGTTACATTTAATAATTGTATTAAGCGTGCTAATTCTACTATTTTAATATACTTCTCCCCAGAAAATTTTACTTAAAAATGTATAACTGTCATTATTTTTTTAAAACCAAACCATAAAATACCTGAACCAAATCCAAATATGAACAGTGATGAGTATAATCAGAGCTGAGCTTTTATTTCTATGAGGAAATAAAATCATTTTTTACATTAATGCTTTCAAAATCTCTATTTTATGACTGAGTTGTATGTTTGCACGGAGCCTGGGGATAAACAGACAACTTTTACCTGAGCTCAGAAGGAATTTTTAGCCTTTGAGGAAACTGGCAAAGGAGTTTTTCTGCTGTTCATAATCTGCAAATGCCGAAGCAATAAGTTCTGACTGGAAAGAGAGAGGTCTAGGATTCTCATTCATGGACGAAGTATTTGTAAACCTCCGAAGATCAAGACCTCTTTCTTTAAAATATGCCTGGAGGGTTCTGAAAAACTGAAGAAAGAAAGAAAACATTCAGTACCATTTGTAATTATACACCAAAACACTCCAAGTTGAACTTTTCTTTTTTCCTTTGAATTGATGTTAGGGCTAATCTAGAAGGCAGGAAATTGAAAAACCAGAAACAAAAGTACAAACTGCTTCTTCCCCTCTCCCCCGTCCTTCACCCTGCCTCCTTTCTAACATTTCAACCCTAAACAAGATAACTCACTATTCTTGGTGGCAGTTGAGGGAGGGATATCAATTATTTAATAGCATTACAGTCGGATGGTTCATTATAAACCATCTCTGAGTACTGAAGGCAGAGATGTAACTGAAATCCACAGTAAACAGAGTTCTGGTGTCTGTCTGGGAGAATCCAATCACTGCCTTCTGCAATAACTTCTTCTCAGACATAGGTTTTTCAGCTTTCTTTTAGAAAATGAACACATAGAATCTGTGCACAGTGGTATTTGTTTGTTTTAATCTTATATTGTTATATATCACATCATTTCCTTTTAAGAAAACTTTATTTTAAAAACATTTAAAATGTCAATATGTTTATTGTATTTGGTGTATTTTTTAAAGAGGTTGTCACTGATCTTTTGAATTCTATTTCATAGATAACTCTGTGGTGAAAATAATGCCTAGTAAGTTGATAAGAATTCAGGGTCAGCTTTCATCTTTTACAACTGAGCTTTGCAAGTGCTGGTTATATGAGACTCTAGAACGGATTCTAAATCTAAAACATCATTAATTCAATCTAAGCTGTGCAAAAAGCTATTGCCCATTATGCTCTTGATTTCTTATATGTATTAGAAATCAAGGATGTAAAATCAATGTGTATATAAGATCATTTACAAATGTAATGTGCTGCGTGCATATAAGATTATTTCTAAATATTAATGCATTTCTCTTTACAGAAACAAATGTAAATCAGTGCCAGGAACCATAAGATGCCAACTACTAGGCTAGCAAACCCAGATTGGGTCCTGTTAGGGAATCTTCGCAACTCCTGGGAGCCTCTTCTCCAGGGTGCTCTAGCATATACAGTGCAGTGTGCATAAACCCAGAGGGGCGCCAGTGTCACCCTGCAGCCCAGCACACCCCATCGTATGTTCTTACTAGATCTCGGTTTCTGGGATTGTTGAGTGGCTTCCATTTCTCTTTGTTTCTCAGTGTGGCTCCTTGTGCATGCCCACATACCACCAAGGCAACACACAGCGGCAGGAGGAGTGCTTTGGACATGGTTGAATGAAGCTATGTGAAAGGAAAGACCAGGGAAATGTTGATGGTCACTGAGAGAGACAGTCAGAGAAGGTAGAGAAGGAAGGGCAAAAGTAGAAAAGAAAAAGCGGAAACATTTTTAAAAAGAGACAGGGAAGGAGGAATAGAATATAGGTTTACATAAATTTCACAGGCATCTTTTTCCCATGCACTTGCATTCACTTGCAAATGAGACCCAAAAAATCCAGTTGATTAAAGTCGTCTATGATGATGAGAATGATATACAGTAATAAGCAAAGCGATTATAAGTACAATCTAGAAAACCTGAGTATGGCTTTTATATCTTTGAAGAAATGAACACTTTATTATCTCCAAAGAAAGTACAATTGTTTTTTTTTAATTCAAATTACTTATCAGTCTTAAGACAGCAGTCTCCTGAAAGATAAAAAAGAAGGAAGGAAAGAAGGGAGGGGGGGAGGGAAGGAAGGAAAGAGGGAAGGAGGGATGGAAAGACAGGGAGTGAGGGAGGGAGGGAGAGAGGGAGGGAGGGAATAAGAAGAAAGGAAGGAAAGAAAGAAGGAAGAAATAATTACTTCAGATCTGTCTTACACACACATCTGAGACAGACATACACCATAGCAGCATGAGTAGAGACTGTCATCCACTCCAAGGTGTGAAGTGGAAATGAAGCATTTAGAAAAGGCTAATAAAGCTTACCAGGGAGTTTGGCTTTGGCTGGCCCTTGTTGGCTGCCCTGCCTGCGATCTGCAAGGCAATCCATGAGTATTTACAGTCAGTGGACCGGCCGCGGGTGGGAGTCATTGACGTGAGCAGAGGGAGTTCAAAAATAATTATTTCATTTTCATCCACAGAATGAAAGACCCTTGAGACTCAGATCTTCAAGCTTCTTCAGGGGTAACACTGAACTTATTTTGTCTTATAAATGCAGCAGCCTCTCCTAAAACCACAGAATATTTTATGTGGGTTTTATAAAACAGACAGGGCACTTCCACACAGCAAAGTGGCTTTCTCCTTTTTCACTTTTAATAGAAGGTATATACACAGCAGCTGGGAATATGATGATGATTATCCTCCCCAATAGAATGCTCTTTTGGACATATCAGCTTTTTAAATTACCAGCATTTTTGAACAAAAAATTCTATTGCAAGAGACAAAACTACTTTTTGACCTATAGCTTGTATTCCTTCTGAGAATCCCAAGAAGCTTGCAAGTTTTAAATACTGGCATAGTTTATAATAATACTCCTTAAAATAGAACAACAAGATAACACGTGTTTCATGAAAAAAAGAAAAATTACTATACCTCCAGCATCCCCTTACTGGATAAACACCATGTGTAGAAAATGATAGGGTTGAGAAATTGTACTTGATGAGTTGTGAAGTTGCCTTGGTTCTAATAATTTAGAGCAAGATCCAGGATAAGCCTTTTGTTGAGGAAAATCTGCACTGGAAATTAGAACACCTGGCTATGGTCTCAGCCTTACAATCTTGACCTTAGGCAAGTCACTATGACTTTCATTGGTTCATTTCTTTGTTCAACATTCAACAAATTTTTACTGAGTGCCTACTCTTTGCCAGGTACTACACTAGGATTTGAGGATAAAATGGTAAAAATAATAAATGCATTCCTTGCCCTCAATGAACTTCCTATTAGCGGGCAAGACAAACATTTATCAAGTTATTATACAACAAAATATATAAATATGAATGATGATAATTTCTGTGAAGAGAAACCAGGTGCTATGAGAATATAGAACAGGGGGCTTTGATTAAGTCTCAGGGGTTGGGGAAGGCCTCCGAAGAGGTTACCGTACATTTGGTGGATGAGTAGGAGTTACCTAGGCAACCTAGGGAGGACAAAGGGAGAAGAGTTTCAAACAAGGTAAATGGCTTGCACTAGAGCCTGTGGCTGAAAAGGAACCTGGCACATTAAAACAACTGAAAGTCAGTGTTCCAGGAATGGAGGGAGCAAGTGGGAGAGCCTGCTGCAAGACGGGGCTGGAGAGGTAGTCAGGATTGTAGATTTTATGCTGCAGGCAATGGGAAGTTATTGAAGAGTTTTAAGCATCTAATTGCTTGATCAGATTTGCATTTTTCAATGCTTACTCTGGCTGCAGCGGGGAGGACAGACAGCTAGAAAAGAGGGATGAGGGGAAATCAGTTAGGTGACTACTGCAGTAGTCCAGGTAGGAAAAAATATTAACATGAAAGAGGGCAGTAGCAAAGATGCTGAGATGTGGGTGGATCTGAAAGATGTTTAGAAGGAATCAGTAATGTACTGGAAACTATGGACAGCGGAGCTAAGAGGGAGTTTTCAAGACCAGTTCTTGGGTCTGTGGATTATGCAGCCGAGTGGATTACACTGCCATTTGCTGAGACATCAAACACAGGTGTGGAGGGGTGAAGATCATGAGCTCCATTCAGGACATATTGAGTCTGAAGAGTCTTTGGGATCTCCAGCAGAGAATGTAGAGTACTACACAATTGGATACACAGGGCTGGAGCTCAGAGAGGTCAGGGAAGAAAATTTACACTTGGGAGTTGTTGGCATATGAATGGACGAGATTACCTCAGTAGAGATTAGAAAAATGAGAAGGAGGCCTAGGATTTGAGTTTTGAGTAATTTTAACATATAACATCCATGTACAGGAATCTACAAAAGAGATTCTGAACATAAGAAAACCAAGGGAGTATGGAAGCAAGAGAAGAAAGTGTTTTCGGAAGGGAGAAATAGGGTAACATGAGGACTGGAAAGGGTTCATGGAGTATTAGAGCTGTTGTGGTAGATGGGGCAAAAGTCAGATGAGAGTAGGTTAAGAAGTGAGTGGATGAAGAAGAAAGAATAAGTACAACAAGCTCTTGGGAACTTTAGTTGTTAAGAGAAAGTAACTGGAGGGAGAAGTGGAGTCAAGGCACAGTGTTGCTGTTGCTGTTTTTAATGAGAGAGATTTCAGAGTAATTAAATGTCATTGGTTAAGTGAGTAAGTGAATATATTGGAATTCCATTGCATCATTCTCCTTAAAACTCCAGGACTTTGAATTTAAAGCATCTAATAATATCCATACGCCTACAAGGAAGACCAGTTAATATGACTATTATTCAAATTTACACGCCAACCCCTAAGGCCAAATACGAAGAAATTATAGATTTTTACCAATTTATGCAGTCCGAAATTGATCGAACACGCAATCAGGATGCATTGATAATTACTGGTGATTGGAGACAAAGAAGGATTGGTAGTTGGAAAATATGGCCTTGGTGATAGAAACGATGTGGGAGATCACGATAGAATTTTGCAAGACTTCTTCATTGCAAATCTTTTTCACCAACATAAATGATGACTATACATGTGGACCTCACCAGATGGAATACACAGGAATCAAATCGACTACAGCTGTGGAAAGAGATGATGGAAAAGCTAAATATCATCAGGCCAGGGGCCGACTGTGGAACAGACCATCAATTGCTCATATGCAAGTTCAAGTTGAAACTGAAGAAAACTAGAACAAGTCCATAAGAGCCAAAGTCTGATCTTGAGTATATCCCACCTGAATTTAGAGACCATCCCAAGAAAAGATTTGATGTGTTGAATATTAATGACCGAAGACTAGACGAGTTGTGGGATGACATCAAGGACATCATACGTGAAGAAAGCAAGAGGTCATTAAAAAGACAGGACAGAAAGAAAAGACCAAAATGGGTGTCAGAAGAGACTCTGAAACTTCCTCTTGAAAGTCAAGTAGCTAAAGCAAAAGGGAGAAATGACGAAGTAAAAGCTGAATAGAAGATTTCAAAGGGTGACTTGAGAAGACAAAGTAAAGTAATAACATATGCAAAGACCTGGAGGTAGAAAACCAAAAGGGTAGCATATGCTCGGCATTTCTCAAGCTGAAAGAACTGAAGAAAAAATTCAAGCTTTGAGTTGCAATATTGAAGGATTCTATGGCAAAAATATTAAACAATGCAGGAAGCATTAAAAGAAAATGGAAGCCATACCCAGAGTCACTATACCAAAAAGAGTTGGTCAACATTCAACCATTTCAGGAGGTAGCATATGATCAGGAACTGATGGTAGTGAAGGAAGAAGTCCAAGCTGCACTGAAGGCATTGGCAAAAAACAAGGCTCCAGGAACTGACAGAATACCAACTGAGATGTTTCAACAAACAGATGCAGCACTGGAAGTGCTCACTTGTCTATGCCAAGAAATTTGGAAGACGGCTACCTGGCCAACTGACTGGAAGAGATCTGTATTTTTGCCTATTTCCAAGAAAGGTAATCCAACCGAATGCAGAAATTATCGAACAATATCATTGATATCACACACAAGTAAAATTTTGCTGAAGACCATTTCAAAGCAGCTACGGTAGTATATTGACAAGGAACTGCCAGAAATTCAAGCCTGATTCAGAAGAGGACCTGGAATCAGAGGTATCATTGCGGATGTCAGATGGATCCTGGCTGAAAGCAGAGAATACCAGAAAGATGTTTACCTGTGTTTTATTGGCTATGCAAAGGCATTCGACTGTGTGGATCATAACAAATTATGGATAACATTGCAAAGAACGGGAATTCCAGAAAACTTAATTGTCCTCATGAGGAACCTGTACATGGATCAAAAGGCAGTTGTTTGAACAGAACAAGGGGATACTTCGTGGTTTAAAAACACAAAAAGTGTGTGTCAGGGTTGTATCCTTTCACCTGTATTCAATCTGTATGCTGAACAAATAATCCGAGAAGCTGGCCTATATGAAGATCGGGGCATCAGGATTGGAGGAAGACTCATTAACAACCTGTGATACGCAAATGACACAACCTTGCTTGCTGAAAGTGAAGAGGACTTGAAGCACTTACTGATGAAGATCAAAGACCACAGCCTTCAGTATGGATTATACCTCAACATAAAGACAACAAAAATCCTCACAACTGGACCAATAAGCAACATCATGTAAATGGAGAAACAATTGAAGTTGTCAAGAATTTCATTTTACTTGGATCCACAATCAACACCCATGGAAGCAACAGTCAAGAAATCAAAAGACGTGTTGCATTGGGCAAATCTGCTGCAAAAGACCTCTTTAAAATGTTGAAAAGCAAAGATGTCACCTTGAAGACTAAGGTGCTCCTGACCCAAACCATGGTGTTTTCAATCACCTCATGTGCATGTGAAAGCTGGACGATGAATAAGAAAGACCGAAGAAGAATTGATGTCTTTGAATTGTGGTGATGGTGAAGAATACTGAATATACCATGGATTGTCAAAAGAACGAACAAATCTGTCTTGGAAGAAGTACAAACAGAGTGCTTCTTAGAAGCAAGGATGGCGAGACTATGTCTCATATACTTTGGAGATGTTATCAGGAGGGATCAATCCCTGGAGAAGGATATCATGTTTGGTAAAGTAGAGGGCCAGGGAAAAAGAGGAAGACCCTCAACAAGATGGACTGACACAGTGGCTGTAACAATACGCTCAAGCATGACAATGATTGTGAGGACGGAGCAGGACAGGGCAGTGTTTTGTTCTGTTGTCCATAGGGTTGCTATGAGTCGGAAATGACTCAATGGCCCCTAACAACAAGAACAATAATATTGAGGAGCCCTGCTGGCGCAGTGGTTAAGATCTTGGCTGCTAACCAAAAGGTTGACAGTTTGAATCCACCAGCTGTTCCTTGTAAACCCTATAGGGCAGTTCTACTCTGTCCTAGGGTTGCTATGAGTCGGAATTGACTTGACAGCAATGGGTTTTTGGTGATAATATTGAA